TCCAGCTGTCCCACTACAGAGGACTCAGTAAGTCCAGCTGTCCCACTGCAGAGGACTCAGTAAATCCAGCTGTCCCACTGCAGAGGACTCTGTTAGTCTTGCTGTCCCACTACAGAGGACTCAGTTAGTTCTGCTGTCCCACTACAGAGGACTCAGTTAGTCCTGCTGTCCCACTGCAGAGGACTCAAGTTAGTTCTGCTGTCCCACTGCAGAGGACTCAGTTAGTCCAGCTGTCCAACTACAGAGGACTCCATTAGTCCTGCTGTCCCACTAAAGAGACTCATTATGTCTTGCTATTCTTCTGCAGAGGACTCTATTAGTCCTGCTGTCCCACTAAAGAGGACTCATTATGTCTTGCTATTCTTCTGCAGAGGACTAAGTTAGTCCTGCTGTCCCACTGCAGAGGACTCTGTATGTCTTGCTGTTCTTCTGCAGAGGACTCGGTTAGTCCAGTACCTGGTTCAGACTGAGCTGTGTGTGTGTTTCAGGTCTTCTGGCTTCGGTTCCAACGATCCAGGAGGAGGCGGAGCCACCGATGACAGATGAGTCTCAGACCAGCAGTGGACCTGGTACGTGGACATCTTGTCTGGTCTCAGATGATGAAATGTTTGGACACAGTGACATCATGTCCTCTTGTGTCTCAGATTCTCCTCACATAGACCTCGCTGACGTGGAACCTGCTCCAGAATCTTCCTCCTCTGAGGCGTCTCGTGGTCTGCCCGGACCGAGTCTCTGCACCTCCTCTAGCATGGCCCACAGTCCCCCATTCAGGTCCAAACCCAGAAGCCAAAGACAGCGAGGACAACAGAGCTGCCCGCATGCTGGTAGAGAGGATGAGGAGGAGGAGATGATGATGCAGGAGGAGGAGGAGCCACTGGACACATCAGGTGAAATGAAACGCTCTATTTTTTTTTTTTACATGGAATGATGAAATGACACAAACTCATTGTAAACTGTGCTGAGGTGGTTATACCAGTGTTGCTTCGGTTCTGTTGGTGAAACTGTTTCCTGTTCCCGTCTGTCCTCAGGCGCATCGTAGGAGAACCCTCTGATCTGGAACCACGGGGAACCAACCCTTTGGATCCAAGCATACAGCCAGGAGGAGGCGATGAGAAAAGTTTTTGATCCAACTCGACTCCAGTGAAGAGGAGCTGAACTGCTGCCACAGCATGTTGAGTTCTCGTGTACAGCTCTGCCTCAGACCCGCGTAGCTTCTGGGGCTCCAGAACTTTCAGCCCAACGAGCCGTCCGACACCGTGCGGGTCCTAAATCGGGTTCAGACAGATTCACGATGAAACGTTTGGATTTTCTGTGAAACAAAAACGTTTTTGCTCCTAATGTTGAAGGAAAAGATTTCTGACTTTGTTCTTTCTGAGGTTCAGTGAACGCATCATCACATGGAGCAGGACTTCAGGTGGCACCGAGACAGAACCTGCAGATCTGAACGGATCGCTGCACCCTGTCCTATAAAAACTCTAAATGCACTCATGTACAGAACAATAGATTTTATTTATATTTCTCCTTTAATTGTTTAAAGTTTTATTTTCCGTATTTTAAAATTCAGAGGCTGAAGTAAAAAAAAAAAAAAAAAGATTTTATCTGTAGATTTATTTTCCTGCAGTTTAAGCAAAAAGTGAAAGTAAATATCAACAATAAAAACAATATTTGATCAAAAGTAAAACCTTAAATGTTGTTTATTTGGTTGGTATTTTAAAAGCATAAAATAAATGCTGCTCGTTTTGTTTTTCTAGTCAAAATGTACCCGTGTTGTTGTCGATCTATAAAAGGTAACCCGAGTCCGACAGAACTCTTGGTTCTGTTCGGTCGATCCTGTCTCTCTAAACGAACTGCAGACATGTTTGTGTTTCTTGGAGAACGATAAATAAATCTGTTTTAACTGCAGGTCCAGGTTGTGAAGATGAGTCCTGACCGTTTATTTACTGACTTGTTCTCCTGTATTTATCTTTGTACATAAAACATGACCTCACACTGACTGACTGGTTTCCTGTCTTTTTCCTGGGTGTCTATTTACTGACTACTGCCTGTTTTTATGACCTGTTGAAAGGCTGCTTTTAATGACTGGTTTATTTACTGTTTGCTGACTGTTTTTTACCTACAGGATGGTTGTGGGGTTATTTTTTACAGACTTATTTTGCTGCATGAGTTTTCTGCCTGGTTGGTGAGATGTGGACTGTTTTATGGTCGTCTTGTTCTTGGGTGGCTGACCGTTTCCTGTTTGATTTTTGACTGCTTACAGACTGGCTTGGTGAACTGGTTACAGCTGGCTGACTGGTTCCCAGTGAAAGGTTTTCTGACCATTATGTCCCATTAGTTTGGTGACTGTGCTCCTGGCTGGTTTGTTGACTTGTTTACCGACTGCTTAGCTCGCAGTTGTTGATTTGTTGGCTGACTAGTAATCTGACTGTTTCCTGACTAATTAGAAAACTCCCAACTGATGGTTTTCTGGCTGTTTTTGTTGATTTGTTTTGTGACTGACTGATTGCAAGTTCATAACCTGACTGTTTATTCTTTCTGGCTGGTTTCTACTTTGCTTTATTACAGGTTTATAATCAGTTTTGTGCTTGTTTTGCAAACTGTTTCTTGACTGGTTTTCTGGCTGATTTGCAGCCTGCTTACTGAGGGACTACTTCCCTATTGATTTGTGTCCTGGCTGGTTTCTGATCAGTTTTCTCCTTGTTTTGCAGAATATTTCCTGATTGCTTCTTCTTGATGTGTTTTTTCCTGACTGGTTTACGTTTGTTGATTGGCGTCCTGACTGTTTTTTCTGCCTGTTTCTTTGTGTCTGATCTTTTTTTCTCTCACTCACTGTGTTTTTAGCTTCGAGGCAGATCAGCTGATGATGTCATGCCTCGCTCTGATTGGCCGTCCCTGACTTCCTCCTCCTCTTCTTCTGGTGCATCTCTCCCTCGTCTCCTCCTCCTTCGTCTCCCTCTCAGTCCTGATTTCCTCCATCAGCAGTCAACACCGCCTGCCTCCTATTCCTCCTCCTGCCTGTGATGCTGAGGAAGATGATGTGACACTGCAGTTGGCCAATCAGGAGAGAAGGGGGCGTGTCTAGAGTCTGAGCTCAGAGCTGATGATGCTGAGAGCTCTGAGGAGGAGGAAGGGGATGAAAGGGAGGAATAGGAGGCTGGAGGAGGCCTAGCCCAAGCCGAGGAGCACCGACCCATAAAGGAGGAAGGAGGAAGCTGTCTCCTGTCAGAGGAGGATCCGTCATGGACAAATACCGACCAGAGAGACCCACCAGCCTGGCTCTGTTCCCTCAGCTGCCACAAGCCGGGTCCCAGGTAGGCAGGGGGGCCGCTGGGGGGGATCCACCCAGGAGGAAGCAGTAAGTGGGTTAGTGTGTGTGTGTGTGGTCATGTGATCATGTGATGGGTCACAGATTTCTCCAGTTTTTAGCTCCTGTTTGAAGATTCCTGATGTGGTTTGTGGGATCAGGATCCTTGAGGTGTGTGAGGCAGAACTGCAGCAGCTCAGTGGTCTGCTCAAGGACGCCTGGACGGACTGTTCTGATCCGGACTGAGCTGATCTGCCATTTTGTGAAAAATATTCTGGTTTGTTGTCAGTAAACTGTCTGAAATCAGAGCGATGCGACAAAAAACTGAGTTGAAACTCAAAGCAGACTTTAACTGTTTGTTTCCATTTGGTTCATTTATGCAGAACAAAGTTGTCATGGTGGAACCAGGTCCGGTTCAAATCCAGTCTGTTCCTATTTAGTCCTAATCCATAAAAGAAAAACATTTTACTAGAATAAGTACAGAAATGCACCACCTGCTCATATGAGGAAGATCATGTTATTCCTTCTTATTTTGATGGTTCTGACAAAACACATTTCACTATTTCTGCTTTTGGGCCAAATCGTCGCTTCAGTCACTCGTTGGAAATGACCTCAGGATGGTTTTTATCTCAATATCAGCCTTAAACAGCTCCCATCCCAACTGTTACATGTTGCTCCTTAACAAATCAGTTTTCCCTGAAAACACGTCCTCTTCAGTTGGTCGTGTGACGGACTTTAAATCTGTCTCAGGTGGGAGATACAAATCCAGGAAAACTCTTAAAAGAGACAAATCATTTACTCGTATTTGAGGGGAAAACGTGTTTGATCCACAACAGCTGCTGGGATTCTGGCTCACGCAGACAAAACAAACATCCAACCAGTCATCCAACCAATCAGTCAGACCCCCCTGATCTCAGCTTGTTTTGAAGCCCACCTGTCCACAGAATCAGTCCACCTGAAATGGACCAAGACTGAAATGGACTCCAGACCATCCTCGACAAGCTCTTTGAAAACGAGACAACAGTTGGTGCCAATATTTAAAAAAAATGATGATGATGATGATGATGATGATGATAATGAGGGATAAGACTACAGATACACCTGAAGAGTAAAGATCTGAAGTCAATTGGGATCACAATCATCAAGAACACTAATGGTACACTACACTGAGATGGACGGCTAAAGAAGGTCCAGGTCCAGACCTGACCCCCTACTAAATAAGGCCCAGGTCCAGATCTGACCCCCTGCTAAGGATGGCCCAAGTCCAGACCTGACTCACTGCTGACAAAGGCCCAGGTCCAGACCTGACCCACTGCTGAGGACAGTCCAGGTCCAGACCCCCTGCTGACAAAGTCCCAGGTCCAGACTTGACCCCTTGTTGATAAAGGCCCAGGTCTAGACCTGACCCTCTGCTGAACAAGGCCCAGGTCCAGACCTGACCCCCTGCTGAGGAAGGCCCAGGTCCATACCTCACCCACTGCTGAATAAGATCTTGACTGGTCTGGATCCAGATGGAGTCTGACAGAGAACATCAAAAGGATTCAGAGGAGGTTCTGTGGTCCAATGGGACCAGAATCCAGGTCTTCAGCATCAGTCTGACCCTCCGTGTTTGCAGGAAGAGAAATGCTGAGAGTGACTTGAAGAACGCCATGCTTACAGTCAAGCACGGAGGTGGAAACATTATCGTCTGGGTCTGTTTTTCTTCATCACGTTGAGGGACTAGCAGACCGGGTCATGTACTCTAGAATCTCAGACAAAACCTTCAGCAACCAAAACCCAGTTAGAAGATCCATGGAGGAGCTGCAGCTTTAAGTTTCTAAGCAGCAGCTGAGGACCCTGAAGGTTTTAGAGTTTCTGTAAAGAGAAATGGGCCAAAAGCCCTCCAGAGTCTGAACCTGAAGACCATCAAGGTTCTTCCACCAAGAACTGATCCAGGTTTTACTTCAGGATCAATTCTTTTCCTCAGTGACTTTATCATTTCTTTTTGACGTTACTTAAAGTGTTTTATTTTTTATTTTTAGATTATTTTCTCTTTCGCTATTAATTTAAACTATGATTTAAAAAAAAAAACTTTATTGTTGTTGGAAGTGAACAAACCTACAGACTGCCCCCCTGAACTGTCAGTCTTAACTGTTCAAAAATAAAAATAAAAGCACACAGAGAGAGAAGAGACCAAGAGTCCTGAGAAATGAAGCTTTGTTTTTGTGGCTCTGCTGATTGTGCAGAAACAGAACTGGTTCTGACCCATCATACTGAGACAGGTGTTCTGTGTTTGCTGGTGCCCCTTTTAATGAACCACATCCTGTTTACTGGATCAGCTGCATCAACCAGAATCTTCTCCTTTTGAATCTTTGGACCATTTTAACCTGACCCAGGAGGCGTGGCGCTGACGGGCAGATATGGAAGGTTATCGTGTCAACAGTTTATTTGTTTCATGACCAGTGGGCTCAGAAAGCCGCTGACTTTAATAAATCAGAGCCGTAAAGGAGCTGTGAGATGATTACAAACCAGAACTTTCTGTTTTCTGACCGACAGAAAGGAAAAACGCTCTCGTCCTGAGTGGAAACAGCTTCCTGTTTGTGTGAAAATACTGATGAAAACACAGAAAATGACTTCAAGACAGAAATGTTTCAGATTTTCTCCTCACAGCTTCTGTCACCACTTTAGATTTTGTTTCTGTTCAACAGATTTATGGATTTTTGAACTAAATTGCAGGATTTCAGCCCCTCCGGATCTGAGGCCATGGTCCTCAGTCAGAGGGTGGACTGTCCTCTCTGGGTTGGGGTGAGATTCTGCCTCAGGTGGAGGAGTCCAAGTATGTCAAATTTTGTTCACAGTGGGGTAAGAATGGAGCAGAAGTTCAACGGATGGATCAGGGCATTTTCTCCAGTATTGTGGACTCTGTTCTGGTCCGTTGTGGTGAAAAGGGAGCTGAGCTGCAAGGAGAAGCTCTCTGTTTACCTGTCGGTCTACCCTCACCTGTGGTCTTGAACAATGGTAAGGATGGACACTAGATGCCTCTCTATGGGAGGTGCTCCAGGCATGTCCAACTGGGAGGAGGCCCTGGAGAAGACCAAGGACACACTGGAGAGACTATCTCTCAGCTGGTCTTGGGACACCTTGGAGTCCTCAGACAAGCTGGAAGAGGTGGCTGTGGAGAGAGAGGTCTGGACTGCCCTGATCAAACTGCTGCCCCCAGAAACCTGAGTCCAGAACAAGAGGATGGGTGGATGAATGGATGTTGGATGGATGATGAATTTTGAATGTTCTATTAAAAAAACATTCATTACAAAAACAACTGTCCATTCAACATTCAGTTGAATGGATGTTGGGATGGTTGATGGATGGATGTTGATGAATGATAGATGGATTTTGGATGGATGAATGATGATGGATGTTAGATGGATGCTGGATGGATGATGGATTTTGGATGGATGGATGATGGATTTTGAATGGATGTTGGATGGATGGATGGATGGATGATGTTACAGAGTAGATGGATTTTTTTGGATGTATGTTGGATGGATGATGGATGTTAGATGGATGTTGGATTTTGGTTGGATGGATGATGGATTTTGGATAGATGATTGATGTTGGATAGATGATGGATTTTGGATGGATGTTGGATAGATGGATGGATTGATATTGGATGGATGAGGGATTTTGAATGGATTTTGGATGGATGACTGATGTTGGATATATGGATGGTTGTTGGCTGGATGATGAATTTTGGATGTTGGATGGATGTTGGATGGATGAGGGATGGATGATGGATTTGGATGTTGGATGGATGATGTATTTTGGATGGATGATTGATGTTGGATAGATGGATGGTTGTTGGATGGATTTTGGATGCTGGATGGATGCTAACGCCAACACCTTCCAAATTACTGAACAAACTATAGAGAGAAGATCAAAACTGTTTTGATGAGTCTGGAGAATAAAACGAGCTCTAAACCTTCACAGCTTCCCTGTGAGCTCTGCACATGCACAACGTTAACGACGACTCAGGGAGGTGATGAAGAAGATAAAGACGAGGGAGGAGCCCAGTTGGAAACGAGTGATGGAACAATAAATGAGGATCAGTCTGCAGACTCTCTGCAGCCACACGAAACTGATGGTGCTGAATGAGCGAAACAGAACTCTATATTGATCTGTGGAGGTTCTGTTTCAGACGTGAACAAACCCAGAGTTCTGCTCGTCTCTGACCTCTATTACAGTTTAAAGGACCCAAGCGGATCGGTCCAGGAACACATCTTGTTTTATTTCATTACAGATGATCAGACTGTTTGTCCCGGTCTGTTCTCTTAAAGTGGCAGTTTGTTCAGGTGGAATCAGATGTAAAGAAACCGTCCAGATGACCTGAACATTGTTGGATTTTTACCTGGATTATTGAGCATGAACTTTGATATGATGGGACTTGGTTTGACTCAAAGCTGAATCTTATTTTATGTACGCATCACATACTTCCTGATTGTGATGTCATCAGAAATGAATGGATGGATGATGGATGGATGCACTGATGGATGAAGGATGATGGATGTATGAACTGATGGGTGAAGGATGGATGAACTGATGAAATATGGATGGATGAATTGATGGATGAACTGACAGATGAAGGATGATGGATGGTTGAAAGATGAACTGATGGATGAACTGATGTATGATGGATTATCTGATGGATGAAGGATGGATGAACTGATGAAATATGGATGGATGAACTGATGGATGACTGATGGATGAAGGATGATGGATTGTTGAAAGATGAACTGATGGATGATGATAAACTGATGGATGAACTTATGTATAATGGATTATCTGATGGATGAACTGATGGGTGAAGTATGAACTGATGGATGAAATGATGAATGAAATGATGGATGATGGATGGATATAGGATGGATGAACTGAGAGATGATGGATGAACTGATGGATGAAAGATGAACTGATGATGATGGATTAGTTAATGGATGGATGATGGATGATCTGATGGATCATGGATGGATGGATGAGATGATAGCTGGATGAACTGATGGATGAAGGATGAACTAGTGGATAATGGATGATGGCTGGATTATGGATGATGAATTGATGGATGATGGATGGATGAACTGATGGATGGCAGATGAGAACTGATGGATGATAAAAGTTTCGCTTTGTGTCTCGTTTAATCTCTTTAGGACTCGATCAACAACAACTCTTTAGGAAAGAAGGACAGCTGGAGGGACTCCCGCTCTTCCTCCCCACATGTTACAGGTACTGTATGAACACACCTGTCACATGTAGGGACACACCTGTCACATGTAGGGACACACCTGTCACAGGGTGAGACACACCTGTCACATGTAGGGACACACCTGTCACATGTAGGGACACACCTGTCACATGTAGGGACACACCTGTCACAGGGTGAGACACACCTGTCACATGTAGGGACACACCTGTCACAGGGAGGGACACACCTGTCACATGTTAGG